TTTTTTTTTTTTTTTTTTTTTTTTTTTTTAAAGATCTAAATGGGGGTGATATCAGAACAAGAAAATTTAGGGCTGAATATTAGGAGAGAGTTAATGATAACAACTCAGTGCAGGAACAAGCCCTGACTTTTGCTCATTATGCCACTTACAACAGTTTCACACTTGCCCTTGTGCTCCCTGGCTAGCTATATCCACTTGTGGCCTCTCATTGTTTGTATCCCACATCCACGCTGTGGCAGGGACTGTCCTTTGTTGTTCGGTCAATGCCCAGTACCTGCCTCTGGATGCTTAATCTATACAAATAATGATTATTGGCCTCCTAAGAGAAATGGTGGGAGCCCCATTGATTAGGACATTTAACACTGAACCTGGCAACCTATTAGTGTCAGTAGCCAATCCTGTGCTAGAACGGGTGGAGATGGTGACCTAACCGGGTCCATTTTCTGACACAGTATGGAAAGTTGCTGGGTGGATTCTCACTGCAGGTACCACCATGGCTCCTTTGTGTCACTTCCATTATCCGGTGTCTTTGCAGGAATCTTCGACAGGAGTCGGATGGATTAGCTGATGAGATCAACTTTGAGGACTTCCTGACCATCATGTCCTATTTCAGGCCTATTGAGATGAACATGGATGAAGAACAGCTAGATCGCTTCCGGAAAGAGAAGCTAAAATGTGAGACTTGCCATGAGTCCCCACCCTGAGGTTCTTGGCTTTAGAGAGAGGCTGCATGGTGAGGCCCCTCCTGCCCCCAGCCCAGGATCCCTGCTCTAGCTCTTTCCATGGTCCCTTCTATTTGCAGTAAGCATTGGGTTCTTGGGGTGCATGGGTATGATTCGGCTCTGAGCCACTGGAGCCCTGGACTGACTCCACTGCTGCCTTGTGCCTCATGTTTCCTAGTTCTCTTTCATATGTACGATTCAGACCACGATGGGAAGATCACACTGCAGGAGTACCGAAATGTAATGTATTGTTCCAGCCCCCCCTTCTCCCAGCGTCTCTCCAAATGCACTGCAACCTCTAAAGCTGCCTTGTTTTCCTTCCTCTCACTCCCTGGTAGGTGGTGGAAGAGCTGCTGTCTGGAAACCCCCACCTGGAGAAGGAGTCAGCAAGGTCTATTGCAGATGGTGCCATGATGGAGGCTGCCAGCATCTGTGTTGGACAAATGGTAGTAGCCACTGGCTTGGTCTAGAGCTGTGTAGGCACTGTAGCGTGATGAGCCTGCAGTGAGGCCCCATGGGGCAGTTTGGTGCTGTTTAGTGAAAGCAAACATTGGGCAGCACTGAGTTGTTCTGGGCAGTGCCCTGCTGTCTGCTGCACAGTGCACATGGGCCTGGTGCTGTGCACTCTGCCTTGCACTCCCATACTAGCACTATGGGATCACATGGCTCTTTTCTACATAATGCTATTGTTTGGGGGAGGGTGGCTATTTCTGTGCATTGTCTGCTGCTCTTAGATGCAGCCACTTGTGCATGCAAAATTCATCAGAGCTCTGTCTTGCAGAGCAGCTGGCCCAGGTGCAGTCCCAGGCCCTGTCCAGACACCTCTTCCCAGCCCTAAGCATGTTCTTGGGTTCCCTGAAAGCAATATATTCAGCACCTTACAGGACTGGAGCCTGCAGACCTCCCTTCGGTCCAGGAGGCCAGGGAACCTGAGACGCTGTGGGGGGAGGACCGCCGTGTAGATGGAAGTTTTTGCCATCCTTTGTTGCACACAGTCATGTAAGAAGCCCATGGAGCTTGTGTACTGAAGGAATACCAAAAAAAACCCCAGTCACCCTCCCCCTGTTGTAAGGAAGCACTGCTTGGTGCCTGCTCTTTTGAGGCATTTAAAATAAGCAGCTGCAGTGTCTGACTAAGGCTTATTGCTGTGCTGAGAAGCAGGTGATTGCTGTTGACTGGGAGCCCTGCACAGCAGTCAGTAGTGCAGTGACTGTTTGGTTGGAGTGTGATGCCCTGGAAGTCCAGTCCAGTAATCGCCTTCTGTTTTGACAGCCTTAGTCCCCTGAAGTCCCATTCTGGGGACTGGATTTCCAGTCTGTGACTTCCTGGCTGCATTCAGTCCACCTCAGAGCCCCTTCTGACCTCCCAGATACCAGCTTGTGCCAGCAAAACACAGGCTTGGCCTCTTTTTGTCTACCCAGTTTTAGGCAATAATGATACCTTTGCACTCGAACGTGGAGAAGTAGCTGAGAAAAAGGGCCCCATTTTGCTGGTGGGAAAAGAGACACAAAGAGAGATTTAATGATAGGCCACAATTAAAATACATCGGAGGTGGTTTAAGTTGCCATGCTCAAATAAATTTTGACACAAAAAAGCATGCACATGTACATGGTGATGCCATTATGTTAAACAAATGGCAATTTTCCTTGCACTTCGTCACATGTACATGGTCAAATCATCACGTGTACAAGCGCCTGATGTGACCAGCTTAAGTCAGTGGCTGAATGAGGCCTTCTGATTCCCAGCCCCAGCTCAGGCAATGCTGTCCCTGCCTGGTGTTTCAGTGTTGGTAACAAACTTTTAGCAGATTTAATTTCCTAACATGTTTTCTCTCTCTCCCCAAACTCCAGGAGCCAGACCAGGTATATGAGGGAATCACTTTTGAAGATTTTCTTAAGGTTAGCAATGATAGTTGGGTTGCTCATGCTGTCAGATTGGCAGCCCTGTTGGGTTGGTGGGGAGAACAGGGCTGAATCACTAAATTGCTGTGGTTATTCCACAGTGTAAAGGTCCTTTGAGCCTCTCACAGCTACACCTGCTAATCTTTCAAGATGCCAGTTTTCATATAGTACCTTCAGAGGGGCATTGCAAAGGCTGCTGTGTCCATTTGTCTGTTGTCACCCAACTCCTGTTATCCAAAACTGAAGCAACAGGGCTGGTCTCCCATGTGGTATCCAGTGCTCAGTGCTATTCTGAGAGGTCTCCTCCTAAGAGGAGGGGAGGAGTCTGCTTGCCAAGTCATCTTTGATATGGGCAAAGGCCACCACCAAAACATGCCAGTAGGACAGTGGTTTCTGGGATAGGGATGGTGTCCATGAGTGAATTGGACTGAGATGCTGAATTTGCTTCACTCAGATTGGCAGTGACAATGTTCAGTCCTTCCTACTGCTGAGACCATCCTGTGGGATGCAGTGCAGGCCTTAAACTGAGCAGCTTAGGGTCAGATGCCCTGCTCCTCTCTTGACTCCATAGGAACCCAGGCAAAGTCTGCTGCAATGACATGCTGTCGGGAGCAAAAACCCAGCCTCTTCCCTCTGCCTAACCCTGCCTATTCCAATTCCAGATGTGGCAGGGGATTGACATAGAGACCAAGATGCACGTCCGCTTCCTAAACATGGAGACTATTGCAC